CTGAATCCTGTAAAAAATCCAAAGTTTCTATCCATGAAACAGGAAGGTTCCAGGTAGAATAGTTGAATCTGTAGCATAGTGCTATATCTCAAAGCCTTTGGTCTTCATGACAGCCAGGTGGTAGAGGTAGAAGTAATTTCCCCAACCTAGCAGATTCAGTGGCAGTGAGGAGAAGTGAAATCAGCTACTGTTGATAATCATGAATTTCTTGATTCCCAAGGGATATAGGTGAAGTGCATGACCTCCTTAGAAAGAATTTCACTGGAGTTGTGTAAGATCTTCCAGAAGTAAAATTGTAGGTAAATAGGTAATAAAACTTTCTCATTGCTGGTGTCTGCAAAGCTTACACAGATTAAGATGATACTGTCAACTGCTGCTGAACTTTGAATCCATCTAACTAGGGAAATCAACTTATCTGGGTTTGAGAGACTTGCTGTAATTTACCATAGTTCAAGCATGCTTTACTCTGACTCTAGGGAGCTCTGTCTTTCCTGTGGATGGATGGAAATTGTTCCACATAGACTATAATTTGTAGGATGGCTTGAGCCAATCCAGCCACTTACTGTCACTAAAAATGGAGATCTTGCTCTTTATACCGGCTCTGATATTCGTCACGCCTCTCTGAGCCAGTTTAACTACCTCATGTAGCAGGGAACTGACCCAGCAGAAAAATTTAGGTGATCTTCTGCTGGACTAATAGGTTAAATGTGATCATAAAGGGCTTTGGTAGGCACTGGGCTGCCATACTGGAGGGGATGGGATGCTGGTCAGTGGTGTATTCAAAGGGAGAAAGAAGGACAGGAGGCAGGAAAAGGGGTGGGGGGGCTGTTGCAGTGATAGCAGGACAGGCTGAGATGTGTATTTGAAATGTGTTGCATGAAGCTGTTACGTTCTGACACCATAAACCTTTTCTGTGCTTTGAGCATGCTGTAGAATAGCTGTAGTTTAACTGAGAATGAGCTGCAGAGGGCATGAGCTGGTTTCCCAGAGCTGAAGCCTTTGGCGGTGCTGGCTGTTCTACACAGAAGGTTAACTATTTTAACAGTACTTGACAAATAAAACGTCAGTGAAGAAACAAAGTTTCGGAGGGATGTGGAACGAGGTCAGCTATAGCAAATAGCAAATAAACTGAGTGAGGGAAGAAAGGAATGGATGGAAAAAATTGTTTTGCTCTTTGTGAAATGAAAGGAGTGACCTCCTTGCAGCCTACAACTTCCTTAAGGCAGGCAGTGGACGGGGGGGTGCTGATCTCCTCTCTCTGGTGACCAGTGATAGATTGATCGAGGCGATGCAATGAAGCTGCATCAGGGGAAGTTCAGATTGGACATTAGGAGAAGGTTCTTCACTGAGAGGGTGGTCGGTCACTGCAACAGGCTCCCCGGGGAAGCGGTCATGGCACCAAGCCTGCCAGAGTTCAGGGAGTGTCTGGATGATGCTCTTAGTCATATGGTTTGGTTTTAGGTAGACCTGCGAGGACCAGGGAGTTGGACTCTCTGATCTTTATGGGTTCTTTCCAACTTGAAATATTCCACGATTCTATGAAAGGTTTTATTTCCAAACTTATTAACTGAGTCACCAGAAACTTCTTGTTTTGAAATTTTTTATCTGACTTAAATGCTTAAAAAGAAAGTTAAAAAAGCTTTTAGAAAATATGTACTATAAACCAATGTGTATCAAAGCATTTTTGTTTGGTAAGAAATGAAGTTTCCAGATTGACTGAAAACAGTTTTTCTTTCCACAAAAGAAAAGGGAAAATGTTGTTTTGTCTATCTTATAGCCCTTAGTTAAGTGGTATAGCTATGGGCATTTCATACTGGTTTCTGCTTTTTGTGTAGTAGATCAGTGGTCTCCAAACTTTTTTGATTGTGCACCCCATCAGTAAAGTATTTTGAACATACACACACAATTTATTTATATTTGTTTATAAATTAGATACATGTGCTACTGTACTCAAGTATTATGTACTTTATAAAACGTGCACAAAAATAGAAATTAAAAAGGATGAGATAAGGATGAAGTAAACAGTATTTTAATTTTTTAAAGTTTATTAATGGCACAAAAATATTTTCTTCCTACACCACAATGAATTGCCTTGCACACACCCCACTTTGTAGACCACTGGTGCAGATAATCCATTTAAAGATTCTCAAAATCCATAGGAATGTGGAAGGTAGTGGCTTACTGCTGCAGAGTTTTCTGTTCTGCCAGGTTTGGTTCTTCTGTTGAATTAGCAGCCAAGCAGTCACATTCAGATATTTGCTGAAGACAATGTTGAAAAGAGGGGGAAAGAAGAATAAAAAAATCTCTGAATGTGAGAAAACATGGCTGAGTGGAAGGGTGGGAAGGAGTTAGAACTGAGTATAAGAAACCTGACTTTGATGCAGATGAAACTGTCATGAAACAAGGAAACAGACTTGAAAGAGGGCTGTATAGCTGGAGAGGAAGCTGTGGTGTCTTGTAATAACTGAGTCAGATCCTGTTAGTTGCCAAGGAGTAATACTGAAGACCAAACAAAGTAAGTCAGTGTATTACTCCTGGCCTACATGACGTACTGCTTTGCAAGGGTTACTAAATTGGCTAAACTGTGCTCCCATGTCACACTTAAAGGTTTAGCATCTGTAATAGTTACGTTGTTACATCATGTCAAGATATCAGATGTAGCTGTGACTTCTTTAGTGCTGTTTGCAAGCTGTGTGGGGCCAGAACATTTTGCACATTCTGTGGGGAGTGTGAAACCTGATGCTTATCACCACAGCTATAAAATGAGGAGAATGCTAATTTCGTATTCAAGGCCTCTCACTGCATAGACACAAGCAAATAGCAGACCCTCCCAGGCTGGCTGCTTGATCCTGTTCTTTAGTCTTGTCATCAAGCTGGCATAAGTCAGCTGTAGGTAAAGCAGTAAACCTGCTTGGATTTTAAGGAGACAAATCATGAAAATACTTCAGGCCTGTCTAGGAGCCTTGTGAGAACCAGACTAGGGATGTCTTTCTCACTGTCTACAGAGATGACTACCATGTGTCACCATATGCTGCGCTCCTAGACTGTCTCCTGGCAACTTATGCTAGGTTGGAGTGATGCTGAGCTAGGGACTAGTGGAATGGAGGGATAGTCCTATCAAAATAGGAGCAAAGGCTAAATGACACAGTGCCTTCGCATATCCAGTTGATTCCCCTTATACTGTTGCTCTGTGTGCACCAAGATGGAAGCAGCAATGTAAGTGGGCCTTGTGTGTGCTTTATTGGAAATCTGCCTGGTTAGAGGCTGATGCATGTTGCATGCAGCGAGTTAAGTTGGGCACGTAGTCTTGAACTTGCTGGATTCTAACTTCTTACGCTGTAATTTCCCTTTGCCTTCAGTTTCCTTGCTTACCAAATAAGGGCTCTACTTGCAATCCTCAAAAGAGAAAACTCAAAAAGCACCTGACATTACTGTGTGGAAGAAATAGCAGCAGCATCACATGTGCGTGTGGTGCACAGCTGATACCAAGATTATAGGCCTGAACCTTTGCACAAAAGTGATGTCTTAAGTGCCTAGTTGTGTGATCCCAAGTCACGGAGTCAGAACAACCTCACAGGTTACCAGCTGCATAGCAGAAGGCTGGCAGTAAGTGATAAATCAACCTGCTCCAGTTGCAGAGGAATGTGTTTGCCCAAATTATCTGTTTATGGTTAAAGCAGCTAGGGGCTATCAGATACCATGGGTCATGTAGCTGCTATAATTGGACTGTTTTGGATCATGTGACAATTTCTTAATTCATCTTCACACTATTAATATTTAAAGCCTGCAGTATTCTTGTATAAGTAGTTCAATTTCTAGAAGAGAAGAGTTAATAATTTACCTGTGT